CCGCAGCCGGGCTGCCCGCTACCCCGCGCCGCTGAGCCAGCAGCGCGCTCGCTTGCCCGCCACCCATCCATTTCCCCCTCCTCCTTCTGCCGCCGCCCGCTCAGCCTTTTTCCCTCTTCCTTGCCCTCTCACTGCTGAGTGGCAACCAGTTATGCACCAACTGAGTGGTGATGCATTCACAGGGCTGCGCTAACAAGGGAAGGGTGAAGAAAGAACAAAAAAGCAGCAAAAGGCAGCAGAAAAATGAGGAAAGATGCCTGGCACCCACAGTTATGCACCAACAGAGTGGTGATGCATTCATAGGGCTGCGCTAACAGGGGAAGGGTGAAGAAAGAACAAAAAGGCAGCGAAAGGCAGCAGAAAAATGAGGAAAGATGCCATGTATGTTCACTGTTCATTTAAAGAGTTGGAAGTTGGCCTGTAATGTGCACATAGCAGTTGGGGAGCCTACAGTCATTCTCCATACGAGTGGAAGTTGTAGAATATACACATACATAATCTGAGGAAGAAAAATAGTACCCATCAATGTCACTACTCACCAGATGCTTACAAATATCTGCCAGATCATTCACCAGCTTTGAAGTTAACAAATGCAAGAAAACACCAGAGAGATTCTTTCTTGGGCTGTTCTGTCAAAATAACACAAGTACATGGATAATTAAAATATATCCTACAGGATTTCTTTATCCTACTATATAAAGCAGGGCAACAAACATCAAACCACTGAGTGTGATCCGCAGGCATGGTACAACTGTTTCTCCAGTAAGTGAATAACGAATTTTTCCTTCAGAGTTAATAATTTTTAATTATAGTTAAAAAAATAAGTCTATAGATTCAATTCTACTTTTTCTATGAAAAATAATTCTACACATTCCATTGCATACTTAAGGAACTTCTAAATACTTCCTACCCTCATAAATAAATGTTGCTAATTTCATTTCCAATTATTTCTTCCAATGCAAATATTGTTACAAAGTCAAATGCCATTTTGTTTACCACAGTATGAACTGCTAGTGAACTGCTATTATAAAGGTTGGTAATAAATTCTTTAGTATAAGGCAAAAGATTTATCAGAAGAAAAACCAGAGAAACCAATTCTCTATTTAGTATCTTCAACTTCAAGTTAATCATGCAACGCCATACTATTTTAAGGCAATCACTTTTCCACTGCTCCATAGAGCTTAGATTCCAACAGATGCCCTCAGCATATCTTGAAGGGCAATACTGAGGAATTCCAGTTAAAGAACACAAATGTGCTTTTGGGTGTAATCAGACTGAAGATATAATTCATTATCATTCTTTCCCCTTTAACTCTTTTCATTACATATGATTTTTAGAAATATTCCTGTCAACCATCATCCTGTCAACTGTCCATCCAAGGAAGCAGTATTAGTATTAGTATTTCTCATGGACAATCAGTTATTTTTCACATGTGCTGTAGCACAATCTACATTGGCAACCAAGACACTGTGTTTTTGTTAAGGATCACAATGTTGTATAATTGTCATCAGTATGATCGTGAATGAGTCTAGATGTTGTTTCGAAGTGTATTATGACTGGACTGTTGATAAGCATCTCAATGAGTTGTTATAATCATCTGATTTTAAATTGGGTATTTTTTCTTGTATCTCATGTTGTAAAGGCCTTCGGTCAGAAACAATAAAGCTGTTGTTGTTGACTAAAAGAGGGTACTAAATTCAGTATCAAATTTAATTTCAGAATTACAGAACAATGTAACTGAAAGGGGGCTCCAAATCACTGAGTCCAGCTTCCAGCAAGAAATCTGCATGTAAACCATCCCTGATAATGACCATCTAATCTCTATTTAAAAACATCCAATTAAGGAGAGTCCACCATCTTTCAAGGCAGTGGTTTCTGATCTTGGGGGCCCCTGATATTCTCGGACAACAACTCCCAGAAATCCTGGCCAGCACAGCTAGTGAAGACTTCTGGGAATTTTAGTCCAAGAACATCTGGGGAACCACAGTTGGGAACCACTGTTCTGAGACAATCCATTCCACTATCAGAGAGTTCTTACTATTAAAAAGTGTTTCTTAATGTTTGTTCCATCTTCCACATGACTGCCTTTAAAATATAAGAATGTAGCTATCATTTTGTTTTGGACAGTATATGTCCTTTTACTCATCAATTTGCACAGTTCAACTACTTACACTTTACTACAAATGGAATTTAATCAGCTTCAATATGCAATATTCACCAAAACACTTCATCCAATTAAAGCTACCCTGTTTCCGCAAAAATAAAACCTAACCTGAAAATAAGCCCTAGTATGATTTTTTCAAGATTCTCAAAATATAAGCCCTACCCCCAAAATAAGTTCCAGTTAAGTGGAACCTCGCCCTCCACCACTATGCAACAATCAGAAGCTGACACGACTGTATTTGCATAAATGCAGATTGTTGTACATGAAAGAAACAAAACATCCTCTGAAAATAAACCCTAATGCTTAATATAAGACCCTGTATTATTTTCGGGGAAACATGATAGCTATTCTGATGAAACTGAACTCAAGAATTTTTACAATATTCCATTATTCTCTAGAATACATTGTATCATAAATGAACACATTTCCTAGGAAAGTCTATTGTTTTCAAGCAGGACCCAACAGAGTTAATAACAATGACTTTGACTTCACTTAGTTTTAGACTGCATTGAAAAAATCAACAGATTGTCTTATTCTTACCTTGACACAGTTACATAAGCAACTTGCACACTGTGTTATTAAAGTCCTCAGTGAAACAACCCTGGATTCTTCATTTAGCTTGTTTTTAGCTTGAGAAATGTTTTCACCTACATAATGAATAAGAGACTACACAAAAAGTAAAAATAAAAATTAAGAAACTTTCTCAGATACATTGTATCTATCATATGCCATTCTTAATCAGGTGATACAGTTACAGGAATAAACTGTATTATGACAGAGGGGTTTAACTCCACTAATTAGCACTACCTCTTAATGTTGTGCAATTGATTATGATCATTTCAGAAAACAAGAAAAAAATCAAAAAGTACCAACATAACTCCTACTGGTAAATAACACTTACTGGCAAATAAAAGAGAAAGAAAACATTTTCTTATTCCTTATAGGAATTATAGGTAAAGTCATGTAACTTTTTATTCTGTTCCCAAAGCTGGTTCACACATGTGTAAGCTATACGCAGCAGTGAATGGTAAATGAATTCAGCTGTCTACTATTGCATGCACTTTTCTGACAGTCACGAGCTGAACACATGATTAAACATTGCCTGTGCAATGGCCAATATGGGTAGATGTAACTGGTCCAGTACTATTCCCTAAAATTAAGGATTTTTAGATTATGTGGACTGCACCTGCACATATCAAACTCAGTCCAAGATCATCTTCAACATTTATACACACAAGGGGGAACCAAAAATTGAGAAGATATAGAGATGAGGAAGTACAGTAAGATCATGCAGACCTTGTATTAATTTTCTTGGATAGCTGCTATACACCTTATTTTATTTGTTATGATGGTTACTACCAGTTACAATTAAATAAATTTTAGCCAATACTGAGAACATTTTGAGAATGTTATTGATCCATGTACTTCCCAACTTTTAAGTATTATCATGGCCTTTAAGTACTGTAGGAGTATGCAGCCTTTTCAACATGCGCTGCCTTTGTTAACTCTAGGAGGCCCAAGAGGCTTTTTTCATCACTAATAAATTTAAAATGTTGGAAAACTTTCCTTTAAAATACAAATTTTCAAATGTTCTAGTTAATGTAACACATTACAAGTTATCAGATGCATCTTTCCAAATACTGCAACAAAGAATACCATGGACTTTTATAAATCCTTTACTCTTTATATTACATCTGAACAGTCCAATCAAAATGTCCAATGATACCACATCTGTTTTATTTTTTTCCCCTTCTCCTATCACTATCTGCCTCATAACTGAAGGGTGAAGAAGGCAGGGATCAGATGTCTTCTATCATATAAAATATTTGAGGATGGAAATCTGACATTTTGGGGACGTCAATGAACAAACTTGCAGAAGGACAGACGCTGCTATAAGTCCTCTATCATAGATGTTCTTTAGATCTACACCTTCTGCTAGTGCAAGGTTATTAGTACATGTGCTTGGGAACCACTGAGTTGTCAAATTTATCAAATTAAAAAACCAGAAGTCCTACCTTAGCTTTATGAAAAAGCTCTGATCTCTGTGCTGCTTCTTCTGTCAGCATGCCAGCATAGCAATAGCAGCCAAGAACTCCAGTCAGGATACTGGCACAACGCAGTGCAATTTCTGGTGTATTCTTGAAGGAGATTAAACAAACACAATAGATAAAACATTTTGCATTAAATTACACTTTCTCAACAAATACATATATATTATCTGGATAGCTTTGAAATATTTTCATGAATTGTAGGCGATTTACATACAGGTAAAGACATGCACAAACTTTTGCAAGCTTTCAAGATATTAATTTGGACTTTAAATGTACAGCTTAGAAACTGTAATGATTTAAAACAGACGAGACAGAATTTTGTACATCTTCAGCATCAGCAGAATGCTAGTGACTTGCCATTTGTCACATTCTAACCATAAAAGCTGTACAGTACTGTTATTTCTGTGAATTCAAGGATTACATGTTATATGATGTTGAAGCATTCTGGATTTAAATGAAGATTCAAAGCCTGGAGAAAAATGCTGACTTTCCATGATATGCCCAGTTTTATAAAGCCAAGCTGGACAGGAGGTTGCTCTCCAAACTACACTGGACTAAACCACCGAATAGCCTTGGGCAACAGTGAGGGATAAGAGTTGGAGTTTGGCAATTTCTGGAGGGTCATACATTCCCCGAACCCTACTTTAAGGAATCTCCAAGTAGTCTGTATCACTATGTAAGCAGCATTCCAGCTTCCTTGAAAAATATAAGTCCATAAAGAGCTTTAAAGTCCCTTATAACTAGGAACAGGCACAGGAAACCGGGTGACCTCCAAATAATTTATCCACGGCTGTGCATAAGGTTAGTTCAGAGGCGAATTGGGTGTTCTCAGATGGATCCTTATTTAGATCAAAGAAATTCCGATTCCATTCAAATTGATTTATACTCTTGTCGTGAATTAATTTGGAAATCTGGACTACCAGCTTCCCATAGACCTACATTGGAAAATTAGGCAAAAGACTACTGGAGTCAATAAGACAAAAAGTAGATATGAGTCATATAAAACCCAAACCACAGTTAACACCATGTTCTCTATGAATTATTTCACTTCAATTGCTCATAACTCTGCTAAACCTGCCTAAGAAGTTTGAAAAGCTGCATGAGATAATTAAATGAATAACTTTAATGACCTCACACAATCCTTACCCATAAACACCGTGACTGGAGAATGAGATTCTTTCTCTCAGACTGAATTCTAGAGCTGTCATTGAGAAAAGCCAGCCCTTTTCCAATTATATTATCTTGTTGGAGATGCAGGGTCTGTCTTGTTCATTAATTTAGATGTTTAAATCTCTAGATTTATTGAACATGCTCCTGATCCTTTTGTTTTGCCCCAGAACTGTATCTGCCCATGCCACAATTTACCGTACTCATTTGTCCAAAGCAGGCTGACCTGGGGCAGAAGCCAGGCTTCAGCTGAAGCCAGTGCTCAATCTGTTTGTATTGCGGCTCTGTTAAGGAAGAATTTGAATTTACTGGTTCGCCTGGTGACTCTGCTTTTTTTTTTTTAACTGTGGAGTCTTTTTGCTATGTGATGATTTGAACCAGAGAGAAGTAGGATACAAATGTCAGGGGCTCAGCTGAATCTTACTGAGGAAACAACATCCTTATGTGGACAGACACTATGGTCTAACACCCTCCTACTTTACTTCTCTGTTCACAAGCACTTTGCCAGGAGGGAACACCAAAAGGCCAGACAAGGGGGGCAAGCACAGGCTTCTTGCAAGGTGTTAATTATTGAGTGCCTGTGTGACACAAGAAGAGCTGCATATGAATATGTCTGAAGTAGGACCAGGCTGAACTATAAACTTACAAACATAAAAATATTGTAATGAAATTAATTTTAAAAAAACAACAACAGTGGAGGCTTGTGCATAATGATTATGGGAATTAGCCAAATCCACACACATAATCCTGAGAAAATACCTAGATCTACACAGCCAAGATTTTCTCAAAAAACTGTTTGTAACCTTTCGAAAGTTATTCTTGAAGCTTGCTGTACAGTTCATACAACAGAAGTACTGCAAAAGCACATGAAGGCAGTACAAGCTTTTCGGTTCTATCATGCTGATGGCCTGCAATGTGAGCAAGGGCTTCACTTTGGGCAGAAATCCAAATTGCTTGCTTCTTCTGCTTCAAATGTGCAAGACCATGATCCAAATGAGGTCTCCCCACAAGAGGGTTTTCTCACGGAAAGAATCTGGCTCATGGTATTTCTTAGGTTGCAAAAGAGTGGGATTTTACACCATGCCTCCATCACAGTACTGCAATCTCTTCCTAGGTGTATACACAAACCGGGGTGATCTCAAAAACATATTTCAGAACTAAGTGAAAACGTATCTCCCATCTATTTTACTGATTACACAGAAAATATGGTTACTGACAAACACAAATTGAAAAGGATGTACTCTGAACAACCTTTCATAAGTAAGGAACACGTATCTCAATTTTCCTTTTCAACTCACCTCAAGAGAAAAACTACTAAGAAGTTTTTCAGACATCACCAGGAGATCATTCTCTAAGGCTTCTTTGAGTTTCTGATTGACAATTAGTCTGGGAAGTGGTGGTTTGTTTTCAGATGTATCTTTTGTCATGCTTATAAATATATTAATGTCATTAAACATTGTCTGTACACAGACTGCTTCTATTTCTGAAAGACTGGCTTCTTCTTTATCTTTTGCATGCTGCAGACTTAATCATATAAATAAACAGATTACTAAATGGTGTTTTAAAACTAAACACAAAAGAATCAAAACTTTAATCCTAGTTCTCTACTGTTCTGAAAATATTTATTATTATTATTAATTATTGATTGATTGATTGATTGATTGATTGATTGATTGATTGATTGATTGATTGATTGATTGATTGATTGATTTGATTTGATTTATACCCCGCCTATCTGGACTACCAGACCACTCTAGGCG